CTTTGAATGCTGAGGGAATTTGCGCTTCCACCAAAGGATTTCTTTCCCTTTGGTCGGGCAACCGAAAATTGCATGGATTTCTGCTCGTGTTAATATAAGGGGCATCGCCCCCGCAAGGGACCCACTGGGGGTCAGAGCACTCCCATAGAACTAAATTCGCGCCATCCCTTAAATGGCCAACATGGTTCTCGGAATTCCCGCGAACCAATAAAACAAACGTGTTTTCCAACGCTTTTCGCTTTCTAAGGTAATCAACAAGAAAAACATTAAGCGGTTCAAAATTTTGGATTGTTTGGATTTTAATCAAAGCAATGGAATCATCCAACAATCGAAGATTGAACCAGTGCGCAATTCACACAAGGAGAGAGGCCCTGTGCCACACACACCTTGAAATGGCTTGGAACAGGGCGCTCTGCGATTGGGCGGAGAATGGGAGGCACCCAGATACGAATTCGTACAGTATTACACCCATGCTCCAGATGTCCACAGCCCTTCCCTCGTACTGCCTGCCGGCCACGATCTCCGGCGCCACGAATTCTGGAGTGCCGCAGATCGTCGTGAGGCCGCCCGAGAAGGGCGCGGCAATGGCCGCAAGCCCGAAATCGGCGATTTTGACGTTTCCCATGTCGTCCATGAGGATGTTCTCAGGCTTCAAGTCTCGGTGTATCACGCGTCTGGATTGCGGCACGCATGTCAGCATCACGCTGGATGGCCCCCGCTGGCCGTTGGAATATTGTTCTTTAGAGCGTTCTCGCAGCCAAAGTCCTGCTATTGTGGTTTTACCCACCGATCGAATACGCTGAGCGGCGGTGGGCTTGCATGGCAGAAGTGAGTTAGGGTGCCCAACGATCCACTCCCACTAGCAGTATATTGTCCAGAAATTCTGAGTACATTTACGCTGCTGGGTGCGCCAACCTCAATCAAAATGAATTCCACAAGTGCACGCTTTTCTAATAAGAAAAGGCAAAGACACATGGGAACGAAGTGGTAACGAGCTTCGCGCTGCATAAACACCCGACAATTATGGCTTTTAGGGTAGATTTTGCAGCACATGAGATCTATTCACATCCGCAACGGCATTGAAGTACTGCTTTTGTACGCGAATACCGCTTTGATTTCATGCGCAGCTCGGTGATTATTTTTGGTGATCGTATCGATGACATACAAAACTTGGAACTCATTCATGCGTTGGAAAGATGGTTCGCAACTGTCTGTTTTTTATCTGCATTGTCAATGCTGTAATGCGGCAGTTTCTCCAAGCTGAGGCACTTGAAAGACGATTTTAAATGCAGATGCCTCACTAGTCGTCAGCCCGGCTATCGCAGTGACGACCAAATGCGTCACTCATCTTGTTCCTGAGTTGACGGCCCAACAGCGAATACATCTCGATGTGTGTCGAACTGAATCACATATGTACTCAATGGCATGCGTGATAGTGGAAAGTTCAACTTGGCAAGGTTCAACCACCTTCCGTTGCCGCAATGCAGTTTTGCCTTCTCAAACAGTGTGCTGAATTCGCTTCTGAGGGTTTTGATGACACTTTACTGACTTTTGTTGTTTATGTCATGCGCAAGAGCCGCTTAGGCAAAATGGGATACATGCTGCAACAAGTTTGCGTGTTCAAGCATTGAAAAGTATGGATCTCATTGTCGTCACGGATTGCGCTACAATAGCCCAATAATTGAATTTATGGAAGAAGCCATTTTGAATCGGTACGCTTGGCGTCAAATGAACGCTAAGCTCATACATCCGGGGCCCCCTCCATTCCTTAGCGTCAATCATTATTTCGATGTCAGGATGATTCAGCAGCTTTGGCTCAAGGGGAACAAGAAGCAGCCACAGTTTGTGGCGATAGCAGTTGCTTGAAAATGGGATGTTGAAGCCATGATAGGCGAAGGGAGCAGCCCCAAAGGCTGTGAACAGAGACATTCTAAGGACCTTCTCGAAGCTTGAGGGATGTTTGGAACAACTCACGAGATGTCTGCCGCTGATCAGCGGTGCTTTTGTGCATCGTCTCACATTACTTTCATTCAGCGCTATAACGTAATCTCTGCGTCCATGGCCTGACCTCGGCCCCTCCACCCCACCCCACCACCTCCAACCCCACCCCTACCCCCATCACCCCCAACCGTCCATTCGATGCTAAGCGCACCAAACCAAAATAGTTTCTTCCCGTATGGACGCCACAAGTTCGTGTGACACACGACCATACTGTGGGGTTCATCAACCCCGGAACTGTACCCACGGAGCTGTACCCACGGAACTATAACCACGCCGCGCAGACAAGCACGCATAGCACATGCATAAGATGAGTAAATTTCCAGCAGCAGGGGGTAGGACCTGCATTGAAGGGGGTGCCCCGCGCAATTCACCTATTAGGTAAATGAAAGCCGAAGCCGTTCAATGTGCGAGTCTTGACACCTTCGATGGCAATAGTCCACCGCAGATACCATCTGGCGAAAAATCCTCTGAGCCTCGGCCTCGTCCAGGCGCCTCCCTGGGTGCTTGTAGATGTGGTTTACCTGAGCAGATCACACCACAATTCATGTGAATTCTTGAAGAAAAAGTTTCATTGATTCCGAAGCGTTCGAGGTGGACATTTTCATGTGTGAGTGAAGTCAACTCAAATCAAGGGATTTTGTCTTCGACGTTCATGTTAGTTACCGTGGTACCAATGCCAATTTCGAAGCAAAGCAATTAGCACTATTTCGGGTGAAAATGAGAAAAAGCTCAGTATTCTACAGCAACTTCTTTTGTACAACTTTTCCCTCTAAAACAAATGGCATCGTAATTACTACAAGCTCACCAGAGATCCTCCAGACGCAAATTCCATGATGAAATAGAACACGCTGTCGATGAAGTGCACATCCAGCAGCCGTATGATGCTGGGGTGCTTCAAATTGGACAGGACGCTGATCTCTTCCTGGATCTGCTCGATCTCCGATATGCTGCGAAATTTGCCGGCGTCGATAATCTTTACAGCCACGATTTCGTCGTCTGAGGGGGGCAAAACACAACAATGCATCATTCCGTCACCTTGCGCCTAAACTGTGATTAGGCGTCTCGGCGTTTCCGTACTTTGCTGCTGCCGTGCATAGCATTTCTTTCTATTCAATGTGCGTGAATCGCAGCACCTGCGCCGTGCTCGCCTTAATGGTATTTTTGATCGAAATGTCCCTCCACTGCAGCTGTCCTCTTCGCCAATCTGTCAGGAATAGCATCAGAGGCAGCCGCAGCTGAGGGCATCTACACTGTTCCTGATGGTCAATGAATACATCCGTTGTTACCGTCAATGATCTGTCGGTACAAGTAGAGCCAGTGCCTCCGCGGCGCCTACATTTCCCTGGACTAAGCCTATAAATATAATATCATTCTTCCCAAATTTCCATTTTCCTCAATGCGCAAGAATACATCAGAAACCATCGCACCGGGCGCGCCTTAGTCTCAGTTTAAGAGAGCTCATCGCGCACCTTGCCCCGCGACTTTTCCCAGCCTCACAACGCCGCTTGCACCCTGCCCGATCGTCCTGCCCATGAGGTACTTTCCAATGCGCCGCGGCCTCGATGATGTAACTTCCACCACCACGCTCAGCATCTGGCACGGCCGCGCTCCCGATGCGTCCGGAGGCGCCATGGGGCAGGCGAAGATGTGCACCCATGTAGGTCGGCCGTCCCTGCAGGGCGCGCGTTGCTTTGGACAGTCAAGTCGCGCGGAGTTGCGAGGCACGCAGCACTGGTCTCCAATCCGTGATGCCGAACCTCAAGTTGCCCAAACACTATCGTCATTCCTTGCATGAGACCGCACCTGTGCCTACGGTATGCCGATACGCTGACCGCGCCCATCAAGCGCTGGTGGATGAATTTGAATCATTCTTTTGCTGCTTGGGGCCTTTGCCTGTGTCTTCGATATTGAGCCTCCGCAATTTTCTCGAAGGGCCCCAACCGGGCGGGCTATGAAAAGTCCCGATGCAGGCAAAGAAACTGGTTCGAAATGCTCACCGAAAATATTGAACATATGAAAGGCAGTACATGCGCAGGACGTATGGTAGACTCCGGTCGATTAGTACCTGCAGTACCACAACATGGAGTGGGTGTCGGTGCGGCACTTGTGGTGGCCCGCGACGAATTTCTTCTTCGCGGCCTTCGAGGTGTCCGGGCCGCAGAGGCAGAGGCTCGTGAGGCGGAGCACGTCCTGCGGCTCGAAGCCCGTGAGGGAAGTGAAGCCGGGGCTGACCGTGGTGATGGGGGCGTTGGGGACATTGGTGTCGGTGATCATGAATGCCCGCAGAAGCTGAATCATCTGCAAGGTGCAGCTGATCAATAGGTAAGGAATTGTCGTTGGGCTATTCACTAAGCACTGCAGTGCACTATTTAACTTATCTAATGAGGGTTGTTTAGCAGATAATGTACTGTACTAACGCCAATCTAGCAATTGGCCAACAGAAGATGCGAATGCAATTGGAGGCCACACATGTCCGCTGGCCTGTACAAAGCAGATGCGATGCGCAGTTTTTCAACATTCGCTCCTGGACCATTGCGCCATCTTCTGAACTGCCAAAGAAGCGCCAGTCATCCAACGTTTGGTTGCACATAAACGTACCAAAATAGTGTGTCTCCGGCAGCATCCCATCACATGGGACCATCAAACTGGCGCATCATCAAGTACCGAAGGACACGCAGCAAAACTTTGGGCACAATGCAATCCTTGTAAAGTGCCGTTCAGCGTTCGGGTGCCCACCGCTCGACGCGCCTCCTTCCCGCCAGATGCGCGCTCGAGGCTCACCTTCTCCTGCCGCCGCACGATGTCCCTCTCCTCCGCCTGGCACCTCCCGGACTCTTCAATGTCCGTCAGGGCGACGACAACCTTTACGGAGTTCCCGAAGTGGTTCAGCACGGGTATGCAGCAGGCCAGGCAGGCGAAGAAGCGGCCGTCCTTGCCGTGCAGCACCAGCTCGTGGCACGCGGGCTTGTGGGCGCGCATGTCCTTCGTCACTTGGGCGATGGCCTGTGAGTCCGTCTTCCAACCCTGTGAGGCGCCGCAGCTGGAATGCTTGAGACGGCAACGGGAGCCTCACATCCTTGTGACCAGCGCATCTTGCAATGCAGAGCGCTGGAACTTGTGCAGGCGTTGTTGAACACGCAGCACGATGGATAACTGAAAATCAAGCAATGTGTTGATCAAGTGGGCCACAGTGCAATGCAGTAGAAAGTAACTAATGGAAACATTTACGTCAACACTGGTCTTGAAAATGATGCAAAAAAAGGCATTGGACGAAAAATATCGACATCAATTCGGCAGAAGACCGGCAAACAACATTTTCCATTGGAGTGCGAAGAACAGAAACACGGGTACGTCGTTGTGTAACGCAGATCCGTGACTTAGAAATTGGCACGAATATATGAGCAGGACCTTCCCGAATGTATATTTCTACTGTTGGGAGTTCCCCTGCAGATGAGCCCCGCACAACGCGCTGTAATTCATGGACGATCATTGCAACCCCAGCGCTACGATCATTACGATCCCAGCGCCACGCTGGCAGCGCGATTTGCATTGGAGCTTCGCATGTCATGTAAGGGTCAAGGGTGAAAAGCGCCAGATGCATCTGGAAAGCTGCCAAGAATTGACCAAGTAGCGATGATGGCTGCTTACATGCGTTGTGCATTCACCGCTGGTTCCTGATTGCTAAGTGAATCGCCTAGGTGAGTTCTACCCAACAATATCATTCCGTTCGAGAATGTGCTAGATCCATCAAAATGGATGCAGTCCATTCGCGCGCTGAACAAGCTACATGGCAGAGAGTTTTGAAGTAACCCCGTCGTTGCATCCGCATCACTACGCGCCCGTTTTTATGCCATGCTCATACCCTGTCCTCCATCCACCTGCAACACATCCCACCGCTTGCCCAGTATCTCCTCCCGCGAGTATCCCGTTAGCTCCAAAATGCGGTCGCTCACGAAAACCACGGGGTGGCCCGTGTGGAAAGTGTCAATGACGAGGCGGGCCTGCATGGCGGCTTCGGCGTCCTGTATGTTGGACGAGTCCTGGGACAGAGGCACGGATCGCACAATACGGTTGAGAGACCAACCTTGATCACCGAGAAGCTCCACCGAAGGACCTGTCGGACGTAGCTGTGGCCATGCATCGTAAAGCGGCGCATAGGGCTTCCGAATGCAGGGAAGGTTACTCGCACTAAAGTAAGGTTTCCTGCGGTAAACGGAAACATGGCGAGGTGCTGTACCTCGCAGGGAAAAGCGCGGCCCTCGTTCACGTGGCGACACGTGTTTGCGCGGCGACGACCAGATCCCGAGTCTAAGTCGATGCTCCCATCAGCACTGTGGAATGCAGCACTTGGGAAGATGAAGCGGTCTACCAGAACGCTGTAGGTGAAATGACAGTGCATCGGCGCGTCTTACCACCAATTTCAAGCTAAGTTTTTTGGGCGCGAGCTCGCTGCCTGAATGGACAGGCTGAAAGGAGGAAGAGGAAGAAGCTGCTCACCTCCAGAACGAAGTCTGCATTCTGCGGATCGAGGGCGCACACAGGTCTGTGAAGGGTATCCCAGTCCAATGCTTCGTCCACAGAAAAGACCTGGAGTGGACAGTGGTGAAGTCTAGAATGAGTAATTTCAATAATGGCGCAGATTCCTTGTCATAAAGTTGCTGAGCGCTGCATTGTGGGGAAGTTGCTCGCCACTCGAGGGAAATGGAAGTTCCAGATGTCAGGAGTCAAGAGCATGGTCGAGAGGACAGCGCCGATGAATGGTTTCAGCACATCATGTGGGCGTGGTCCATTTGTCGAGTGTGAAATAATTGCAAATTCAGTTTTCATTCATTCGAAAAATAGCACTATCCCACTGGGCTTCTCAATTCCTTCACAGCTCCTTAAGGCTCTGGTCCTTACGCAACACGCACCGACATCTCGGCAAGTGCATCACAACAGGAAGGGCAGCAAAATCAGTCTGCCCCCGGGGCCCTCGGGTGAGTGCCACACATCCTCACCTTTTCTTTCCCATCCTTTTTCTTTCTCTTGCCTCTTGAAGCAAGCGTTTTGTGCAGCGGAGGCATGTCGAGGGCGCACTTGGGCCGATAAAGCGACTCAGCATGTACCCAAGCCGTCGCCCTTAGGCATCTGTCCCACACCGCTCCTGGCCCAAACACCTACCCCAGGAGGTTGCGGACCCCACTGCAGGTCTCCACTGTGGGAGACTGGATGCCGCCTCCAGCCAGTAGCCTCCCTTTAGCGCTCAGGCGGAGACAATTCTCTTGAGGCCGCTGAGATGCTGCTCATGAAAATAGAATGGCTTGGCGCCAGCAAGCTTTTATAATTGTCAGACATATAATCAATCGCGGAGACTAGAGCGTTTGTTCTCTCGGGCTCAAAAAGGCGACTTTCAGAAGCCCAGTGCTTGGAAATCGTGCGTCATCCCGCCCCTAAAACGCAATCGATTGTAATGTAATTCCATTTCCACTGAGAGAGTATTGCATTTCAAGGCAAGGGGGTAGCCGTCAGCTCTCTGATGGGAATGGCTGGGAAGGCAGGCAGGAGGGACAGGCACAACAGAGGCATTGGGAATCCCGGGCTTTTGGGACTGCCACCCCCGGTTTCGATTAAGAGGATGAGCGAAATTTCCTGCATTCCTCAGGGACAGTGCGCAGACAACCCATCGCTGACGAGGGCTGTATCGCGCGCTGGAGAATCTTAACACACAGAACGGCATCGCAACATTGCACAGGGCCATAGGATTGCTGTGAAATGCGCACAGCGCGCCGAGGCAATCTTCGCGCCATAGTACCTCGACATGCATCCGCCCCTACGCGTGGCGCCCGATTCTCCCAAGCCCCAAAGCCCGCTCACCCCAATACCAAGCAAAAACCGCCCGGACGCCGGCACCCTGGGCGTACCGCTGACCTCGTCAACGCCACGTGGCGAAATTACGCAACCGCATTGACCACGACATCCCGCCCCGCCAAAATGCCGCCCCCGCGAGCCAGCTCGGCCGTGTTCCCTCTTGCCGGCCCATTTTCGAAATTTGAACGTGAGATTTGGACACCACCGGTGTGGAAGTCCCCGGCATGACCACCATTGATTTCTACATAACCAGGCAAGGAGGCAGCCGCCACCTTCCTAATTTGCCCGAGCAAAGCAATGTGAATATATACAGATATAATGCATATATATGGCACACATTATATAGATCATGCGGACAGTATATACATCCGTATGCCAGGCTCGCTCGCACCTGGAGAGGGCAGGCGCTGGGGCCAGGGGGGCCAAGGGGTTGGAAAGGCGTTGCACGGGTGGCAAAGCCAGCAAGGCGGTGACCAGAACCGGCGACTTCGATTCAGCGGACGCCTGCTGTGAGGCCCTCTACCCGTGGGGCGGACGCGGCGCGGGGCATCAGCGCGGTGCTACGCCGCTATGGGATGAAAGTTAGATGTAGGATCAGGCGTGGCGCAGAGACGCAGCTTGCTAACACACTTCGTTTGATGTATTACCGTCGATGATCGCTTCTAGGCATCGAGAGTTCATAGAATCATAGATTTAGATTGTATTTCTCATTAGATTTCAACGAACCAATCACCGACTCTGCTTTGCTCAGGCAAAATAGGAAGCTGACGCCTACATCATTGCCTTGTTCTGTGAAAAATCATGGTGATGATGATGAGAGACGGCAGTTGGGGCCTGCATCTGATGGAAGGCCGTTTCTGCGGTTGCTCCGATTGCAGCATTTGCTGCCATCGAGAAATCTTGCATATCGATGCAAGGGAGCTTGCAGTGTTCCCAGTCGCAACGAGGTCCAGCCGTCCCTTTGCGTTCTGCTTCGGTGTGTGGTTCGGCCATTCCGTTTGCGGTGCAGTGCGGATTTACCTTTGGTCGTTGCGTGGGGTTGGATGGTGTGAGAGCCAGGGCTTCGGCTGATGAGAGGGCCGTAATTGTGGAGCCACTGTCGGCGTGGTACTCGATGCAGCGTTTGGTTGTTGTCCGCCTGTTGGGTAATAGAGAAGGCGACGCGCTCTGTAATAAAGATCACCCTTGCTGTGATATCGATTCCTGGCAGTGGGATTCTTTCATCAACGGAATGGGGTCGCTCGAAGCGAATCCGAAAGTGTATTTGAGGTACTTTGTGAGGGCTGACGATGCAACCACGTGAGAATGAATTATGTTGATTTTTTGGGAGTGATCTGAAAGCGGCTGGATTGTTGCTGGTCAAGAACAATAGTCATATGGCTCCGCAGTGCATTGCGTAGTTGCATGTACTGCGACATGGAGCGCATGGAAGAAAACTACTGCAGATTGCATTTCAAGCCTAGAAGCCATCGTAGACACCATTTATTCCCAGCGGCCTACAATGCAGGCAGTGGCCAGATTGCATGGCTATTGTTCCATACGTCGCTCGGCAAGCATCCCAACAGTAGGACGTCGTGAGCTGGCAACGTTGTAACTGTTGTAATCTAGCGTTTCTTCTGGCTGGGGGTGTCTAGCGATGCTAGTAGTAATATCGGCTACCTATCTATCGGACATGAATAGAGTCTTTCATAAGGCGTTAGGACATCGATGCGGCTGCGATGATAGCTAAAATCACGTCAAGTCGCATAAATGCACGTATTCTCACCTCGCGGTATCTGCGACTAGGAACGTGCACCAGAGTCATTGGCCATGAAGTCAATCCACTGCTGGTGAAGTTGCTGCTCCAAAAGCTGTATCTAACGCAGTTAAATTACTAGCTTCCCAGACTTTTTGAACCTTGAAAGTATGCTAGATCCTGCCTCTAATTTCCAACCGCTTTTCCGTTCGCCTCTATCAATCGAACAATGCTCTGTATGTGGCACATAGCATCCAGACCTATGTAAGTGTGCAGCAGTTGCCACACAATATTCACACCTGCAGAGAAGATCCAACCAACGTGTTTTCCCGACTGTGCAGCGGCACACCGTTGCTCTCGCGGTCATTGCATTGCTAATTGACACAAGTACATAGTTGCAATGAATGTATGCGGCACCGTTGTCGGTGTGAGTTTTATTATTTGGCTGCGCGCCTGCAGCAACGCCACCTGCACGCCCAACGTGCACCGGCAACCGCTGTGGTGAATTTGGACATTCAACTACACAAATCAGCCATGCTCGCGTCCCAACATCTGGTGTTGGGAAATTTGGTGTTGAACAGATCGCGTGCTTGCGATTGAGCATTCTGTCGTCCAAAGTCATCCAAAAGAAGAGGACAAGTTGAAGCGTATTGAATGCGATTCGCGCCTGTGTGCCTTGGCTCAAAAAATGACCAATTTTGTCGTCTTTGGGGCCAAGGGACACAGGCGCAGGAGCAAATGCATTAGCAATGTTACGAACGAACCACATTGCTGCGCCAAGAAACATGGACAAAGTAGGTGATGTCACAGAGACCAATGTATCCACAGCAATGCATTTTCACGGTGCAAAGTGGTTGGCAGATATTCTATGAGTTAACATTTGCAAACTACAGGAACGGGAATACATGTGTTCAAAAGGGCGCCCAGAACAATATTGGCGACCTAAATGTGCATTCGCAATGGCCCCAAAGCACACACAGTGAACCAGCGTTGTGTGCGTTGTAGGGCCAGATTTTTTCCTGCTTTGTCCCCGATGGTCTGCTTGCAAATCCTCTTATTTCACTATATTATCATGGACCACCTCTTCCGGGCAATTGGGAACTTTCGGATTCGGGCATTCAATTCTACAATACGTTGGAGTCGGTTCAACAGATTATTTGCACTGCCTAAATGAGGTGAGCTTAGGTGCTGAAGGTCACATAAATGCCCTGAAGAGCATTGTTTCTTTGTCGTTTAAGTGTAAACAAGTAATATTATTTTGGTAGTTGAAAATATTGTCAATCTCCTTCAAATAAGCTAAAGTCCATTGGTTTCAATTTATCATCAAGAAAAATATTCATATCAAGGCAAGGGGGTAGCTATCACCGCCCCATTACGATCCATCAAATTAGTGCCCATCATTTGCTTAATGAGAAACATGAATGTTTCTGCAAACCAACTGACCGTTGAGCAAAGAAATGTAACTATACGGCAATCCTCCTTCCAGAATTAATTGAAACAATCATATTCCCACTAAGCACTTGGCTGGCGAGGGTGGACCGCCCTCCTCTTTAATGGCATTGGAAGCCCTGCCTTGGTTATGGAAACCGCGCCTTGCTCCCTAAAGCCGCGGTTAGTCGCAACCACTGATACAGAGGTGCGCCGCGCATGGGGGTGCACAACGCGATCTTGTGCGGGTCAGGTTGGGCGAAGTAACACTAATACAACCAGATATTACTAAATACATTTGATACATACCAAACGTTTACTAAATATTGGCCTTGTTAATTAGAATTACTCCTTACTTCCACTAGAAATAATTGCTAATACTTCCAATGATTGGGGTGTGCAGGCTCACCAATGTGGGTTACCACGACTTTGCCGACGTCCTGGGGTGTGAGTGGAAGCAGGCCCATTGGCGGACCGTATAGCAGGATGCAAAGATACAACTGGATGGGCGTACTATAAAATATTCAACCCTTTTGTATTAGCAAATTTCACCGCCACACTTTTTGCTCTGCATTTTGCTTTTCAGAGCGCTACTTCTATTTTTTTACGTTGCCCTGCACAGAAAGGCCAAGTTTTGCGTTACTGTTTATAATATTTTCTCTGCAAAAAAAGACCAAACGTTACGGTACTATGCATAAGGGTTTAATATTGTACAGTATTTCCCACACTAACAGTGCTTGCGTGCAAGAATATATCCAGTCCTTCCATCTTTTCAGCGAGGACCCTTTCATCTTCCGCCGACTAAGCCAACGCCGGTCAATGGGTCAGTGGGTTGTGGCGTAAACAAAAAAGGGGTCTTCACGGAAGACAGAGCGACTACAGTAGTATATTAAACCCTTCCGCATAGTAACGTAACGCTGGGACCTTTTTCGCGGAGTCGATGAATAAAAAAGTAAAGGTGCCGGAGCGAGATGCGGAGCAGCCGAATTTAGTAACGGCCGAGGCGCGGCTTCGGAATGGGCTTGGCCCCGGCACCTGGCAGGCCACTGGGCGGTCGATCGGCAGGCAGGCCGGCGCCCGCCGCTTGCCTACCAGACGGGTCGGTCCTCAAACAGCGGGAAGCGATCGCAGGGGAGCGTGGGCGATCGATCGATTGATCGATCGATCGGCAGGCAGGCGCCCGCCGCTTGCCATCTGGGCGGCTCCGGCTTCGAACCTTGGGAAGCGATCGCAGGGGAGCGTGGTCGATCGTCGGCAGGCAAGCAGGCGCCCGCCGCTTGCCATCCAGGAGGCTCGGTCCTAGAACGTTGGGAAGCGACCGCAGGGGAGCGCGGTAGGCATCGGCCTCCCGGGTGCTGCTGCAAACTCTTTCCGTAGAGAACTCGGCAGGCACACTTCGACAACTTTAACCGAGAGCGCAACGCCAAGATAGAGCACCCAGAGACCAAGGCACGAGGGAGCAAGGGTGAGCTACAGGCGGATGAAGTGGGGAGCGCAGGGGTGTATTCAGCAAGCACAAGTTCGCGGCAAGGGACCCGGCTTCGCGGACCAGCTTCGCGCGGGGCGCGATCGATCCCCAGAGCTGGGTGGTTGGTGTCGCACGGTGCACGCACATACGAGGCTTGGAACTGGTCCGTTGCACCTGAAACTTGGGATACACCCTCTAGAGCCCGCTCGGAGCCCGCGTGACACGATGCGGAGCAAAAAAGAAAATAACGTAACGGTCCGGGACGAAAATGCGGAGCAAAAACGTAACGGTCGGGAGGGAACAATGGGGAAGGGTGTAATATAAGCACGGTACTTTTCACGCCCTCGTGTGCGCCATTGTGCACTTGTGTGTACAGGCAGGCCCGTTCTCACTCCTGCAGTGTTTGTCGGTCCACCACCCGTGTGGGCTCCGTCGCCGACGAACGGAGTAGGCGTCGGAGGGCGGTCGCAACCGAGCCAGGCGGCGCTTCTGCATCGCCGGCGTTCCCCGCGCTGCCTCCCCAGCGGCTGTTGAGTGGATAGGATGGTGGACACTGGGCACGCCACCGTGGAGGTGCGCGTGGAGGTCCTCGGAGTGGGATTCTGACCTGACGCTCTCGCAGAACGTGGCGATTATTGCCCTATTGGAGGCACACGGCACGCACAGGGGTTTGGTAGAAAAAAACTGGTGTCAGGAGAGGGGAGGCAAGCCAGCATGTGTGTACTGGCGCCACGAGACACTAGTGTTTCTTTGTTTGTGGATCTCCAAGATCGTCACACCGTTCACGTGGGGTCGGGAAGAGTGTCGCGCTGCCCTTGTTCGTTTGATGACACCGTTGTCGTGCTGGTCAGGCGGCTGCGGACAACCCCGTCATCTTTGGAGTGCGCTTGGGAGGCTCCCGACGACTGCAGTTCGCTGCCCTGGCCGCGGGGTGAGCTGCAACTGCCTTTGGAAACTGTAGGGAATGGGGTTTTGGGGGAACAGAGAGAATGAAAACCAATTGCAAGTGGGCATTTGGTGCATTACTGGGTTATACATTGGGTCGCTGCTCTCACCGTGGCCCACCCTTGCATGGGGTGGATCTTGAGCAGCCTAATGCGGTTGAACTGGGGGTGCAGAAAAAGTGTAGGCTAAATATAAGCTATGGAAAGGCACAAGAAAGTGAAGCAGGCACAACTGCAGCGACCATTTACACAACCTTGATCTGTGGAACCAGTGTGGAAAGTTGCATTTGTGTGGGGAAATCGCCGGTGCTGTGGAGTCGGGCCTTGGAATGAAATTGGGGCTGAAAAGAAATCGAGGGAGCAATCGGTCTTGAATGCACAGTGTTTCCAGTGTTCAGCAAATGGATCTATGGGGAGCACCACGTCTGCTACCCCCAAAGGATCTTTTGCAGCACTCTGATGCTCAATGGCCTCCAGTAGTTTTGAAGAATGTCCCCTGAAAAAAATTAAGCAGCAGATGACAGTGCCATTCTCAATCTTGATCGACGTGCAGAGCGTATGTCACCTGACTTCTCCCACCTCTCTATTCTCTGCACTTCTGGCAACTTGTACAACAAGCAGTTCCCTGGCACCTTCATTTGGCAGGATGCACTAACTAGCAGCTAGAGCAAAGATGATGCCAATGCTGGTGTGAATCGACATATATGGAGCATGGTCATCCTGGTGGACATTGATTCCTGTGAAGGTTCCACAAATGCTTATCTTTGGGCCAAAAGGAAACTTGTTGTGCTTATAGTCCACCCATGAGCAGGAAGCTGAAGGGCTCCTGTTCCAGTTTCTGCACACTCCTGAGTGTGCAGCAGGACATTTTGGCAATGCGAGCTTGGTAAAGCAACAACGGGCACACAAAATGTGTGTAAATGAGATGCAAATCAAAGCAGGCCATCATCAAGAGACTGGAAAACTGCAAGCTGTGTTGAAGCTTTGCAGCATTTGGTGCTGGATTTGCAGACTATTAGCAGGCCATCTCTCTGCACCGAATACTCACAACTGTCCTTATTAGGGGCCAGGCTAACTGATTGTTAGTCTGTCTTTGCAACATGTGGGAATGTCCATCCATGCCAGCCAGTCTTTACATGCCCCCCACTGGTGTCGTGACACTTGTACACTGGTGTTCAACTGCTGTGCTGAGCTGCAACACAGCCTGGACTCACCTGAGTGTCAGAGGTATATTGTTCTGCAGTATATACACTAAAATACACCAGTATTGCAGTGTACCATGGGACTCAACGATGGAGATATGGGACAAGACAGCACCCCTTTGTTGCATTTTTATGCATTTCACGAGCCTGGTTTGCTGCTGACAATAAGTTTTCCTTTCAGGATGCTGTTGCTGTTAATCACATGACACTTGGGGTCAGCGCCAGCACATACATGACACCAGCATATACAGCATGTATGTAACACACACAGCATGTTGATATCCCTGGCATATGTAGCATATAGATAAGAACATCATAACTGTTCCCATCAGATCCTGGCAGTACCCGGCAGATGCTCAATGCGCCCACCAGAAAAAACAAATGCATACACAGAAAGAAGACCCCTGAACATTATGCAAGCTTCCACATGCTGACTGTCACTGCAAATCTGATTTTGTGGTTTTCTTCTCCCAGGGCTTTGATTTCCTCCCTGGGATTTTCGCTGCTGCAGGAGAGTGTGTTCAGAGTGCCTGGGTTCTCATTTGGAGGATGGATGACGTTTTGGATGTATGGGAGTTGGGTGGTGTGTGGATTCTTGGAGCAGAACTGGAATGGTGGGCCTCAGCGCAGAGGGTCCCTAGTGGTGAGAATGATCTCATGCAAGACTGCCTTGAATACATCTGACACCACATGACCATACACTACCCTCAAAAGATGACGTGCGTGGTGCGAGGTCGTGTGATATCAGCAAGGCCCAGATCAAGTCCAAGACCATGGGATACACTTATGTTTGGGAAGGAAGTTCAGGACTAATATTCTGACAATAGCTGCAATCTAGGCAACTGCCTTGTCCTACTGTGGTGGATCGAAACTGCATGGCAACCTTTGTGCTCATCCAGCCCCGGACGTTGAGTTGTGGGTAACCGCAGCGATGCAGGCAAAATCTTTGTGCCATCCCCATCGTTGTCCCCTGTGGCAGCCTCCAAAAAACAGAAAGCATAAGCTGGTGCATCAGGTTGGTGGTGTGTGAGTGAATAGAACACCCTTGGCAAAGTCAGCAGGACTGCACTGGAGTCAGGTGTCATCTGTCACAGCTATGTGGGCCTGCATGCTCCATGGAATATTCAAAGCATGTTTGTGTGGTTTTGAGCATTGTGGGCACCAGAATGGAGTGCGCACTTACTGCATGTATGATATCATCGGAAAAAAGTTGCAGATTCCAGGTATGCGTACCTGGGATATTCCGATATCCTGGATGCGGGCACCATATCCTGCGGTATGGTCATGTCCTGGCCCAATCCAGCATATGGAGGCCTCGAATGAGGTTCATGGGTCATGCAGTCTTGTGAGTCTCACCCCACGATAGCAATAATGAGGGACAGGGGAGTTGCAGTTTCGCTTGCCAACTCAAGGTTGCATTTCAGGGCTATGCTGTGGTTGCACTGACGACCTGTGGAGGCGTGTACTTCACCAACTGGGCACTGAACTTCTTGAACTACACCACACGGGTAGTGGCCAAGTCGTGCAAGGTGCTGCCAGTTATGGCCTTCAGGGTGCTGATCCAGAGAAAGCACCACAGCCTGTGGGAGTACCTGGCTGCGCTGGTGCTCGCAAGTGGCATATCTGCTTTTCTGCTGGGAGACAGGCAGGCGTACCCCCAGTTTAATGCAGCGGGGCTGTTTCTGATATGCCTTGGAGTGGTGAGTGGACAGGGCAATTGTCAGAAACGCACAGTTGTGAAGCTGCACAGTTGTGTTATTCTTTGGATGCATATGTGAGTATGTGCATGTCGCTTTGTTGGCAGAATTTAGGGTACTGGCATTTACGCCAGCAGTGTGGGAAATGTTTGGAAATGCGCTATGCATCTGCATGACAGCACAGCCTGACAGGCTCTTGTCCACATCAAGGCTGCACGTCACGGTGCTGGAATCTCTGATCTTGATGCACGAATGTTGCTTGCATGTTTCAGAGGCAGGGCTCTATGAACCTCATGGTATGCATTCTAAAACGCTTGGGCCACCATCTTTGACACCCCAATCTCTTGCATAGCATCATTAAACACAATCAGATGGCATTATACAGCAACATGCTGTGTTGCAACTTATTTCACAGCATTCAATGTGTTGAGACCAGCCGTTGCCAGCTCTGGATCAGCCCCTACTGCAACGTTATCATCGCATGAATTAAATTTGTCAACTCTTGCGATGTCAAACCATTGCAACCCTCACCCACCTTTGTTAGACACTGCTGTGCATTCCATTTGCCCTTCCAAGGTGTGCGATGCCGTCACCTCCAACCTTGAGGAGCGATGGTTCTTTGACATTCGGCCCCCTTGCGACCAAGCGGAGGTGGTGTATTACCTGAGCCAGTTCTCCTGCGGCTACTCGCTCATCCTTCTGGTCGCCACAGGTGGGTTGCGCGTCATCACCTGCAAGGTGCAAAGGGACCCTTTTGTCTTTCAAATGCAAATTTCAGCAATGGAATTTAGACACAGGTGGATGGCTGAACTTTTGCATCCATTGTTGGTGCATCTGGGACCTGTTGTACTTGTTCATCAGCATCGGGTATCAATGCCATGTATACTGTTAAGTGCTGTTGGTGGCTCTGTGTATTGTATATACTATTAGTTCCTCCAACACTGGATGTGTCTGTAACTGGTTGTGGAAAATGGCCAAGTTGCAATGGTGGGGCGTACTGAAGGTGTATTGCTTACTTTTCAGGAGAAGCATGGCCAGCCTTCGAGCACTCAGTACAAAATATGTTGGTTGTCCCATCAATACTGGCGTTCTCCATGCTGGGCTACGTGTCTGTCGATTGTGTCTTGCTGCTCATAAAGCATTTTGGGGCAACGAACACAGAGATCGTCAAGAGTCTCAGGAAGGTTCTGCAGGTAGGGTGCCATCAACCAGGAATATGTGCCACTGCTTCTTTGGCGAAGTGCTGCACTGACAACGCACCCAACTAAGGGGGTATCTGAAGATCACAATGACACCATCATCGCACTTCTCAGTTCCAGGACGAAATTGTCCACTGGGTCACGGCGAATCCACACGTTGCCAGTAACATGGGTGTGTTCTGCAAATGCTTTCCATGTGTGCTGGTAGGCATCGATGGCAGTAATACCAAAAGTTTTCCATGAATGTTCCATCTGCAGTGCTTGTGTACGTCACCGTTGAGAGTTGGGACCTAGACAGACATAAACCTGTCGGATGGTGCCGTCACTGACTGTTACACCATACACAGAAAATCACCCACAAGCCGCCATGGGTGATGCTATTACAGAACAGCACACCACACTTCAAGTATCCATGTGAACGCAGACCACACCGCACATTGAGCTGTGCACCAGAGAATCCTTGGGAGAGATATGCTGCATGCAATACATATGATGCAGTGGTGCGGAATCACAGCAATGAACAAACAGCCAATCGTTTCTAAAGGCAGCCACTGTTCTTGCATCAAGGTTGGGAATTTCAACTCCCTATATATGGTTTCGATTTGTGTACCGTTTCTGGTGCCATATTCCCCTGTCTTTGTTCTTGCTGTGTATCAGGTGTCACTGAGCCTCATGGTCTTCCCTAAGCCCCTCAATGCATCGCATGGAATTGGCTACATGCTGGTATTCCTATCTTTAATGTGGATGGAGAAATTGAGGCGGCGGCGATCCACAACGAGTGGACCCCAGGAACTGAAAGCAGAAGACAAAGTGTGATGCATGGCTGGGGCAGGTCAACAGGCGTAGCTGACTGTTTAGGAGTGTGATACAGTGTGATGGTAGCATGTAAGTGTGTGACGGTTGGTGTATGAGCTAGTATGTGAGTGTGTTGTGAGTGCGCTATTGATGTTTGCATGGAACAGATGCAAAGAGCGAACAAGGCCTGGTGAAGAAATGAAAGACGATGTTTCGACTGGGTGAACACAAGAGCCTTGTTGCATTGTTTGCTTTTTGAGAGGAGTGTGGATCCCCCATGCAGCGCGTAGATTGCACGCATTAGAGCTGATCTTTTGCAGTTGATGAGCACATTGCTGAGTTATCCTAAACGCCATTCTTCTCATGAGGGCACGCATACTGGAGTCCAATTTACTTGTTTATTTGCTGGTCAGCGCCGTTTCAGGTGGATATGGTGCTGGTGCTGCAATGCACATGAGTGCAGACAGTGGCACAGCCATCCAGTGCCTTCTCTGCTTGTTACTCCACAGGTGCCTTTCCATCTCGTTACTCCACATCCAGCCTTTCCAATGGATGTGGCCCCTCCATGGGTACACTGTACAGACTTTGGAGAACCCCGTTCACAGCACCACACACACAACCACATGGAGCTTTCCATTCTGGAGTTCCCTTCCACGCAAATTGTCATGTGCACAGTACTCAAAGATTGCAGCTCTCGGTGCCTCAATGCAGTGCTCTGTTCCCGGTGTACGTGCAGCTCCATTGGAGACACGTCGGAAATAGCACCCACCTACCCATGCTATTGTTGACGGAGTTTCGAAATGCGGCGCTGTCCCTGAGTGGAGAGCACCTGCTGGACTGTGGCTTTCTCTTGGTGGTGTCAAATAGTATAGCTGCCGCCCTGTTCCCCATCCCCCCTCCTTTGCCGGCAAATCAATGGTGGTTCATATTAGTTCTCAGGTGATTTGATCAGATAATTGAACCAAATTCTGAAAACACACAATGTATGCAGAGAGGTTCTCCCTTTTCTTTACATCCATGGACAGTGTTCTCTCATTGGAACAGCTGCAATCAAAGAACCTCCTCAACCCGCCCCCTTGACAACACCTAACGGACTGCGGCAGAGGCCCCACAAACGCAACGATTACGGAGAGTGAATAGCCTCATGCCCACGTCCTTGAATCCCCTAGCCCCAGGCTGCAGAGACAGGACGCAACGTCCTGTGATCTCATGTCTGGCCACAACAAGACAATGGAAATGCTCACGTGCTCGAGACAACTAGCTATGCATGCGAGCACAACAAAACTTGCGACGGAAGCCAGCCTGAAAGCTTTCAGCCTGACGAGGGAAAGAAGCTCTGGGGGGGTGTGAAATTGTCGACAGGGGCTCTTGCTCATCACATCACGAGCCACCGGCTTGGGAGCAAGCGCGTTGTCCGCTCCATCACATTTCAGTGCAGCGCACGATGTGCTGCCTCTGCTGACAGCGCCGCCCTCACGCCCATCACCAACCCCGAGATCGGCAGAACAGGGACGCGCCGAATCACATCCGCCAGGCACCAGATTGACGCCAGCACAGATCCCAGCCGTCTTGCAATCAATCCCACCAAACACCGATCGCTGGTCTGCACCAACATCGCCAACGGCAGCGGCTGTCGACTGCTCGATTCACGTCGCCAGTCAGCGGGCATCCCGAATCTCCAGCGCCGCCTTTGGAAACGCTACCGTCTGTTGGGCCGGCCTCTGTGGGCAGGTCTTGGGGCTCAGCGACGGGCAGCGCCATTTTATTCTTTTTACTTTATTTTATTTTATTCTGTTCTTTTTCTTTTGCCTTCTATTTTCTTATTTTGTTATTTTGGTTGATTAATTCTGTTGTTCTATTTTAATAAAAAGCGCTTGTATGACATGGTAGCACCCCTGGGTCGTCTGATCGGTACCGTCGATCCTCTGTTCGCTCCTCCGGTGGCTGTCACAATCGGGGCGGGTCTAGAGATAGACATGACGTCCCCACCACAACTTTGGCGGGCTGCGAGTTCAGGTGTAACCTCAGTGCTGGGTACGACATCCGTTGCCCTTCACAGCACGGCGCTGCCCACCGCCATGCGAGCTGACCGGTTCATGGCCACGTCGTTTCTCAGTTGGCACAGCAGTCGACGATAGCAAGGTTGCGAGCCTTTGCTATCTCGGGAGACAGGGCAGAGGATCCACGAAACTCCAGGTCTTACAGTCTGCAGCCAGGCACAACGTTCGCCTGCGCTTGCCCTGGTCCCTAGCAGCAACGCTCTGCCCCACACAAACCCCCACCGTGCTCTCCTTACATGCCAATCCCTAACCTGCCGGTACAATCCATCATCTAGTATATAAGACCCTCCTGTCGTGGCGCACTCACTCTCGTCATGACAGAATATTCTCCACGTCTTCCCAGCTCCTACCCACATCAGCAAATATTCTTTTCACAACATCCTTACATCATCTACACAAACCTATTACACTTTCAGAGTTTGTACCTCCCAGAATCCATATACGACCCACCTGAATATGAGTACTTGTTAAGTCACATCACCCGTCACATCAAGGCGCACTGTGGACATACACAAGTACCCCAATTCATGCCAAAGTACTTTCACAACCCGTTCCTTACTTCAGTCCCAAATCACCATCTATACTAAACATAAGTAACTCCATTAATATATCAAATTACATGCAGAACACGCTTCTCTTCTCACAGCCTTTTTTTGTCAAACCTTCAGCTTCAAAGTTACTTTGTTTGTAATTCCCTTATGCCCTTTTCTTGTTTATCGAGTCACAATGTCCGCATTCTTGGGTAGGCTATCGTCAAGCTAATCATTTGTCTAGGGTGTCGGTGAGGGAGGCATTTCCCTCTCCCTGGCAGCTTCTAAAAGAGTGGGGATCTTAGTTCCCCTAGAATCTTTGCGGAGGGGCCGCCTTGCGCCCACTCTCATGACAAAGACACAACCTGAGCTCTCTTCTTCTATTGAGCTTGATGCTTGCTTCCTTCTAGGCCATTTCACAATGAATGGCCTGGGCCCATGGCAATTGCCTCCAACCCTCCCCTTCACCTGTAAAAGAAATCAGGACATTGTACCTGTATTGCCATAGCTCAGCTTCCGTTCTGTCAATTTGATCTACAATTAACCCATGTTCTCTCTCTTTGCTCCATCTTGAGAAGAAATCTCTTTCCACTTCCAATGTTTTTTATAAACCCTTTTAACAGCCCGTTCTAATAGAGAGGCATTGGGCATGGGTTGATTGCAATGGTCTGATGTGTTCTGTCATGGAATTGCATGATTTCCAATCCCGCCTTTCTCACCAAGTCATGAAGAACAATCCTCTAGAGATCCTTATATCGTTGTTCATCCAGCAAGACTGGCCGCAATTCAGACATGCACTTGTCCAGCCATTCCACAGTTGCAAGTAGGTCTCTCACCATTCTCTGAAGTGCAAACTCTTCATTTTGAAATGCGCCCTGCACTGCCTTTAGCAAAGTAGTGTAGTGTCTTACTATTTGGTTCCGTTTGAGTAGAAACAATACCGACCAAAGCCTAGTACTTCTAGCCACGATTCCACCCTTCTCTATACCTCCTGATAGGCCACACCCAAAGTGGTCTGGTAGTGTGGTACCCTGCCATTCACTCGAGGAGTTGATACCAATTGCTGGGTTGGGGCACCCACGCTCTTTAATCCGTGGACCTGCCTCGCTGGGAACCTAGGGGTGAGAATGCGGCGATCATATTTGACGTGTGGGCCACAGACCCCATAGTCCACAATCATGGTGCCCATGCCCCCGTGGTGTGCAGTTTGTGCTTGCTGCGATGGGTGGCAAGACCAAGTAGATGTAGTAGTGGCAGCTTGTGAAGGCTGGGGAGTCCCACCCCCTGTGATGGGGGACTTGGGGGACTCGGATCCGGAACCCAGCATAGCGGGGGCTCTGAACCTACAACAGCCGCTAGCTGCCAAGGTATCCAAAAGGCTATTGCCGGCTGGGGATCCCAAGGGTATGTCAATAAGCGGTAGGGTGAGAGCTATAGCTATGCTAATGGCAACACTTAGGGACCCATTGACGGCATCGGGGGCCACCTCTAGAAGCGGTGGTGGTGTGAAGCTCATGGCCGGTAGCCAGGGCGGGAATGGCCCCCTCAACCAAAGTGGGCCCAAACGGAGGGAGGGGTGGAGTAGGGGCTGCCTCCGGTACCAACAGGTGTGTGGCCCCATCATGGGGGGGCGGCAGAGTGGCAGCCGGTGGGTGAAGCCATTGTGTTTGAAAGAGGAGGGGTGGCCTGCCGTCTTTATGAGATGCCACACCATTATGGGGGAGGAAGGCAACCACAATAAGATCATTTGCCGCATATGCGGCAAAGGGATTTCCTTCAAGTCGTTATCTATCTAAACTGCAGAAAAGTATATGGGGCACCACAAGGTCACACAGCGGGCACTGCCCATTGCCGTGGAGCTCGCAAACAAAGTGCGAGTGGATGGTGTTGCTTTTCTCATGACTGAATTTCTTTCGCAGATGCCTGAGGAGGGCCGCAAGGTGGGGGTAGCACAATACATAGAGCAGGAAGCCTTTGCCATGGGAACCACCCCATGGTATCAAACGCAGTCAGCGATCACTCCTTGGATTGTAGGGGATAGCTTTCATCTATCCATTATTGAGTCTCCAAAATTCTGCCACTTGTGCAAGGCACTCAACGGCTGCTGCCTCTCCTTTAGCCAGAAGGCTATCACCAATGAGGTCAGTTGTTACCACGTCGTTGCATGCATTGTGTGCAATATATTGTACTATCCCATAGTGTCTATGTGATACGGTCCGCAACACACAATTGTGTTGGTTATCAACCTGAAAGTTGCATATTCTATTGTTGTTGTAGGTGGCGTACATGCACCGTTGGGTAGTGTAAAAACTACAGGGGATGGAAGAGTGGAATAAGGTGCGGCCGGCCTTCACCTATGACCTTTGGTGCTCCCGCACATAATGGGAGTATTTTTTAATAACCATGCACTGGATAGAGAAGACGCACTGGC